GAATGAGAAAAGGGTTAAAAAATTGTCAGGAACTGTATTTAACGGTTACCAGCGCAGAACATGTATACCTGTTAGAGAAACCTTTTTGTCGCTGCGCAAAACGATAAGCATCTGAAATAGAGCGCAATGGCTTTTCGGTAATTGGGCATTTTCGAGCTCTGATTTTTTCAATAAGGACGGAAATAATTTTCCCTAGGGTATTATTTAATTCATGAAATTCAAATTAAGGGTTGGTATTCGTGAGTGACATTGTTCCAGGTAAGCACCAAGGTGTTGGATTGAATTTTGTACGTGGCACAACAGCTTTGGATTTTTAAATATGCGCATTACATAGCGAGCCGTTTGCTTCAAGACAAATGCCCGCTGTAGCCACATCTACTAGCGGACCGACACTTTAGTAAGTGAGTCTTTAAAGCGAATAAGTCGAAGTGGTCCAACCGAACCCCCTCTTTTTGCCGTGAAACATGGCTCCGCACATGTTGGTTACAGTATCTCGTATATAGGTTGGCAGTCAAATAGCTTCAAGATCGGGTCTGTTTCTTGCTGCGATCACGTTGAATAACCCGTACTAATGCATAGGGACGAAATTCACGTGTCTCCATTCGACCAAGATGAGGTGACAACAGCAATCATTCGTCTTAAGAACAACAAACATCTGCAGCCGGCGAAATAACGGGTGAGGTGTTTAAAGCCAATGACGAAGAGCTGGTGGGGCGTAACTTGTAGGAAAACCACTCGAAACATTCCAAATCCTTCGTGAAAGCTGTACAAACATTGAGAAGGCATTCATACAAACTGTTTCTTCATAATGGCTCAAACGCTTTAGATCGATTTCATCTAGGAAGATTGTGAAAACCCCCTACAAAATTGGGTTGGGACTTTACGTATGCACACACAATTCTCATATATGTATGCGGATAAAATCCGGACGTCTGGTCAATATTCGCTAATTTTTGCAAAATAATAGAGCACTTGAATAATACACAAGCAATTGTTATTTTATTCAGATTTTTTACTTAGATATTGAGATAATCCGGATAGCTTGCCGATAGATTAAGAGAGCTTATAAAAAGTGATTGTGATATATTTTATTCTACCTTACCCGCTTGCAGTGCAAGTGTTTGCCACTTCGGTATTGAAGCGTGAAAGGCATGTATGTAACTACTGAGTCGAACCGGGAACGATGTTGTCGCTGTGCGTGTTGGGACTGGTTTGCCCGATGTCCAGGCGGATGTTATTCATACCTACTGCGTTGTGAAGGATTAGATTCGTGCGAATGGCATCCGTCGGATACCGCAATTGGCATGATTGAGTGCTCTGGTGTACTGCTTCGATCTACTGTTTGAAGTCGTCATTGCAGTCGAGTAGGTGACTTTTTGTGGCGGTTTGGTTGTTCGAATGATTACTGTGGTGGTGTCCTAAGAGTAACTGTGTTGAGCGCAATGTATTGTTTTTTTGACACCTGAGTTCGAGAAGATGCAATGAAGAATGCACTTTATATTTTTCCAACAAACTACCACAAAATTTAATTCCGCGTTTGCTGGGCGGTAAGTAAATATAGGCCGGTGAACATTTTTGTCGCATAATATAAACAATAGGAGATTTTGAATTAATATCTACGCTTTTGAAGAACATTTTCGAGTTTTCACCTTGGTGCTTTAATTTATTTATTATAATTAGTATTAGTGCAAATTATCTCAAATTATCAGGTTTTGGCGTTCGCGTACACAAAAAACTTGCAAAGTAGGGGAAATTGAGATCGCAAAGTGACAGTTGATATGGAGAGGAAGTTGCTAATTAGTGCGGGAATTTTTTTTTGTGTAGGTTGAAGGGTAGGGTCAAACTCAACATGAAAATAGGTTTCTTATTGTCCCTGACAGGCCAACCTAATATTCACGCACGTCGCCAATTTGCTTTCAAAAATTTCTCGTGCACATAGCAAAGCATCAACGCCACCCTAGGTTGAGTGTCATTATGAGTCCAGGTTGGTATAGCACACCCCACCACATCTAGCCCTAATCGCCACATGCTCTAGAAACATTTCTGCATCAAAAAGAAAATTTTGAAAAAATGTCGTTTACGTCTTTGCCGGTTAGGGCTCGATATGTCTAATGACATAAACTTTTGCGCAGATGGCCCCAAACTTGAAAGGACGAGTCTTTCGCCATCGCTGAGAATCAAATAGTTCTGAATGTTTTAGACTCACACATGGACAATGAACGCCTGGACCCTGGAATATTGAGGATCACTGAAAAAGTGACGATTTGGGAAGGTAAGACACGACCACCCACATATTTTGGAAAGCCCACGGTAGGTATAACAATGACCACCTTTAAGCGGTTAGAGATCATGCCTCTCAGTAGCCAATGAATCCGGAAACAACCCTTCGTCCTGTGAAGTTGCAATCTAACCTCGTTTTATTGCAGGAAACACACGTCGTTGCTCTTGAGTTTAAACAAGAAATCTTACGGGCACTGCCTAATTTACCATTGCAAGGACATACCATAAAAGAAATTGTACAATACCTTTTATGCTATTGTACAGCTTAATGTAAAAAATATTACACACAGGTAGAAATAGCACAGGCAAAGTTAGTACCCTCAACAAAGCGGTAGAATTGCCAATGCCTAACCATAGGGCAAAGTAACTAATATATCAATTCATGCAGTTTGGATGAAATTTTGTTGTGCAACAATTTTCTCTTGTGTATAATATTAAGTCAGAAATAAATCTAAAAACAATACATTCAGCCCTGTTCTGCAATCCGATTCGAATCGGAATCCGATTTGTTTCCGATTGTTGGTGTTCTGCATTCCGACAATCGGATATTATTTCCGATTCCGCCTTGTTCTACATTACGATCCACTTCGAATCGGAATTCTATCGGAAATTTGATGTTCTGAATTCCGAGTATCGGAAATTTTTTTATTGGAAATATTCCGATCAAGTAAAAGCCAGTGCAATAGAAAAAGAACAAAACTAAAAACAAAAATATAAATGTAAAGGGTGAACACACCAAAACTGCGACACTTTGGAAAGCTTATAACTTACACAAAAAGATTTAAATATTTTGAAATTTAAATACCATAAGTTGACCATGACCTTAGTTGGACGTAGAAGAAATTTCATTTGCATTTGATTCCTAGTTGAGCTTAAAATGGCAACCAAGTTCGAAACGAGACAAACCATTTTGCACGAGTTTATAAATGATCCGGCCTTAAGTACAAGTAAAATTGCTAAAAATGAAAGATTGCACTATTCGACAGTTTACAGGGTTTTAATCCGTACAAATAAGGCCTGGCAGTTACGAGAGAACCAGAGAACGGGGTTTGGCATGGTCAAAATGATAAAAACAGTGCTCGGAAGGTCCTCAGTGCGTTTTCGCGAGATCCGAAGGTTTTGTCGCGTTATGTTGCACATCCGTACGGAGATAGCAGTTTTTCGTACAAAAGGTAAAGCGGAAAGCTTCATTGAGATGTTCTACAGATCAAACAGCGCCAGACCGAGGCGCAAAGTAGACTGTTACAACGAAATCCCGCAGTCCGAAGTTGTATAAATTCTAAATTAATACAACTGCATCGTTATGGACTACGAAACCTGCGTTAAAAATTCAAAATATATTGCTGGTCAAGATTTGTATACTGCTGCAAGTCGTCAAGATGCCCCTGAAAGCTGTTAAGCTAAAACTGAAGTCCAAATTTCCAAAAAACATTGCTTGGCAAGCTAGTTGTTCCTGTGGCGGTAAGAGCAGCCCTTTTTGCCCATCCGGCACAATGAATGATCAGGTTTATCGGGATGAATGCCTCAAAAGGCGTCTTCTGTAATTTATCAACATATAAGGNACAAAAAGATTTAAATATTTTGAAATTTAAATACCATAAGTTGACCATGACCTTAGTTGGACGTAGAAGAAATTTCATTTGCATTTGATTCCTAGTTGAGCTTAAAATGGCAACCAAGTTCGAAACGAGACAAACCATTTTGCACGAGTTTATAAATGATCCGGCCTTAAGTACAAGTAAAATTGCTAAAAATGAAAGATTGCACTATTCGACAGTTTACAGGGTTTTAATCCGTACAAATAAGGCCTGGCAGTTACGAGAGAACCAGAGAACGGGGTTTGGCATGGTCAAAATGATAAAAACAGTGCTCGGAAGGTCCTCAGTGCGTTTTCGCGAGATCCGAAGGTTTTGTCGCGTTATGTTGCACATCCGTACGGAGATAGCAGTTTTTCGTACAAAAGGTAAAGCGGAAAGCTTCATTGAGATGTTCTACAGATCAAACAGCGCCAGACCGAGGCGCAAAGTAGACTGTTACAACGAAATCCCGCAGTCCGAAGTTGTATAAATTCTAAATTAATACAACTGCATCGTTATGGACTACGAAACCTGCGTTAAAAATTCAAAATATATTGCTGGTCAAGATTTGTATACTGCTGCAAGTCGTCAAGATGCCCCTGAAAGCTGTTAAGCTAAAACTGAAGTCCAAATTTCCAAAAAACATTGCTTGGCAAGCTAGTTGTTCCTGTGGCGGTAAGAGCAGCCCTTTTTGCCCATCCGGCACAATGAATGATCAGGTTTATCGGGATGAATGCCTCAAAAGGCGTCTTCTGTAATTTATCAACATATAAGGTAGTAGGCCTCTGTTCTAGGCGGACATGGCAAGCTGCCACTATGCCAAGGACACATTGCCGTGGTATAATGCAAATAACATCAATTTTGTACCTCACGACTGCAATCCACCCAATAGTACAGAGCTACGCCCTATTGGGGAATATTGGTCAATTGTCAAAGGAATCTTGAAGAAAATAGGTGAAACAGTAAAAAAAATTGAAGAGTGCAAAATAAAGTAGTTGTACGCATCGCGTAAAGTCAATGATGCAGTCGTGCAGAACATGATCTCGCGTGTGGGATGAAAATACCGATCACTTGCATATGGAGCAAATAATAACTAAAGTTTTAACATTTTAATAACATATAAACTTCCAAGTTATATAATACAAAAAAAATAATTTCAAAGCCTTCTAGTTTGTTTGTGGTAGTAATCTCTAAGACCCTTATTATGAGCTGCATTCGATTTTCGATCTTCGCTGGCTATCGAAGATCGAAAGTGAAATTCGTATTATGAGCTATGCAAGCCTGTCGAAATTTTCGTTGAGTATCGAATTTTCTGTCGAACAGAATTTTGCTTTCGATGGTGTAGCGAAGTGTTAGAAAATTGTGAAAAATGTATGATTTTGTATATGTTTTCTTACATTTTGGCGGCTAGACACTAATTTTAAACAATTTTTATTAATTTCATGCAGTTCTAACATCGTGAATACTAAACACAAGCTCGAAAGGCTGGTTTTACTTGTGAAAGAAAATCCCAATACTCTGTTGGCACGATCTCTGAGAACAAAATCGTAGCGCTGTTGATAGTTTTAAAATATTTTAAATAGATTTGGCTCACAAACGCCTCTTTAGATGGTCGGAACTTTTTAATGAATCTGTAGACAAATTTCTTAAATATATTTTATATCAAAATATATTCGAAAGACTAATAAACTTAAACTCTCTTAAACATTTGCTACTCCTGGCCAGTTTACTAAGCTCTCATCCTCTGACGAATCGTTGAACCAGAACTCGTTGTACTCATTTTACCACGTTTTTATAAACTTGCTTTCTTTTTTACTTCATTTTAATTAGAACAAATTTACATACATAAATATGTATAAGCACACTATTTAGTTTGCTCGATTCGCAAACAAAGCTTCTCAGCGGTGCAAAAATATATACTATTGTGAACAACCTAAACGAGCGAAATTCACAATAGCGCTATTCTTCATCGAATGAGCGCCATAATACCAAATGAAAATTCGTTCGCTCAGCATTTTCGACCACAGTCGAAAATCGAATGCAACTTATAATAGGGGCCTAAGTGTCGGAGTTTTGGTGTGTTCACCCTTTAAATTATCAAATTAAAATTTTAAACTTTAAGGCGGGTTCACCGTTCGTATCCGGGCAACTTGATTCGAACAAAGAGTGTTCAGCACATTTATGTCGCGCTCTCAGAGACAAAGTGGAAAAGGAACGCGTAAAATTACTAACAAGAAGTGTCCGGGCACGAACGGTGAATCCGCCTTTAGCGAACAACGAAAAATATAAGTAAACGAATTAAAATTGGCAATAGTTGTAATGAAAAAAAAAATTAAAATGCGACAGCTTGAGTTGGAGCTAGAGCGTTTCGAATTTGGGAATAGGAAAAAGTCTTAAAATGTTATTCTTTGCGTAAATGGTTTATTGTCTAATTACAAAACTCGTCTTAATTGAATAGGGGTAATTTTATTCGCAATATCTTATCCAATTATTTGTGCTTCACTTTTCAAATAAATTTCTGTTGGTGCAAATCTATCTGCTTTACTATCTACATATTTCGCTATCGTTTTCTTCATTTCTTCTTAGTCAAATTCAGGACTGTAGTGGCGAAAAATGTTATGCAGGTAACGCATTTATTCATTATTTTCACAACCTGTCATAGTTTGTACTGCAAGGTTACTAATAAACACTGAAAACGACTTTTGAGAACTCGCAATATTACGTGCCGAAGAATGTGTTTGATTAAATGCGTGTTGTATAGACCGTGGCTATGGATTTATATACGGTGTCAACATAAAAAGTTCCAGAGCATACCCGGCATCGCCCAATAACCACGAATGGCGATCACCATCGCGATACTTAATCCCCAGATAAACATCGTTACCTACATCACTGGTTCCATGCACCCAACATTGTGTCGGTAACGTCGGCAATGGTACGGTGCTCCTTCCCAAAGCGATGTTGGTCCATTCGCTTTGCTCCCATGAATGGGACTTTTTGCGTACATAAGGCTGCAAGTCCCCAAAAATCTTGAGGAGTGCATGACAACTGTAAAATATAAAATTATACTTTGAAATAGCAAAAGGGAGAACAGTTGTTTGCGTACTACTTACGCAGAGTCCGGTAATTATATGAGATTGCTGCGATCGCGCAATATTGATATTTCTTCAAATGAATTTAGACACTTCAGAACGCAATTGAAAAGCAGGAGGTTTGTTCCTTTTTTTCGGATTCGATATTAACACCGAAACAAAAGTTCTGATCGGATTGTGGAACACCATTTAAATTCTGAGTCGGAATTGAATTCCGATTCCGATGCAAATCCGACTCGGATCGCAGAACAGGGCTGATAAAGCCAAAAACGAAACTACAGCAGCTTAGGGGTTTTCCAGTTAAAATTTATTTAAAGTTCCTTAAAACATTTAATGTGATATAATCTTACGTTTTTTAATATAAAAAACAACTTTAATTATCATTCTTACTTATTCTTAAACTAACGTTTCTATGCTTAACTTACATACGTACCATATTTTTATTTTAATTATTTACAAATAATTTATGTGAAAATATATATATGTGTAGAAGTTTTTTTATTTTTATTTTATCTCACGCAGTATTTGGATTTCCAAGAAAGAACAGCTGTTATATTGTGTCTGTGTGTTACTTAATCTGTATTATTAAAAGGTACGTCGATGGCGTATGGACTTTACGAAGCTATGTTAAGGTCCGGTTGCCACTGAAGCTCGGAACACATTTAAAACAACTGTAAATGGGCCATAGCTTTCCAATTATTATTATTATTATTATTAATTATTTTTTTTTTTATGGCAAAATCATATAAATTTAAGTTGTGTTACCGACAAATCGTTTAAAAAACATAGATAAAAAAAATTTATGAAAGGTCAATTTCAACGTGTTCCAGGCATGATGTATTTTTCGCAAAATCTCGTATTGGCTGCTGTTTGTTTTACTTGCTATATTTCCCCCAATTGTTTCTGCAACGTTTTTGTTTCACGTGTAAAATTTAAATGCGCAATTGTATGCGCAAATTTTTTGGTATCTGTTATGAAGAATGTCATTAAGCGAAGAAACAATATTACATAAGTTATAAGTAGTAATATTAACTAATCTTCTGGAATTAAAAAATATTTAAATTTTTTCTGATGATAAAGTGTCACAAAATAAAACATAATAAAAATAGCAGTGTTCACAGGGACCGTATTTTCGTACAACTTTACGATATATACTCAGCTTGACCTTGCAAAAACGTAATCATAATTCTTTCGGTATAATTGAACAGTTTGACAGTCCTTTCAGGAAAAATGGAATTGCTATCAATTTGAAAATATTTCGGGAAAGCAACTTGTTTTATGCAAATTTGCGAGGCGTTTTTTTCGTGTTTGCACGGGAAATTAACAGTTTTGACAGCAAAATGCGTAGTAAGAGCCGCATTGTAAAATTATTTCATTATTCGGTTTTTTTCCGTGACATCTCAAGATTTGTTCGAGATCGTTCAGGAGTTTTTTGTGTTTTGCATTTAGGGTAGTTTTGAAATTTTTTTCAGGTAATTTCCAAAAGTTTTCGGGATATTTAATTTTTCCCTATTTTCTCTGGACATTCTAGAACTTCATCGGTTCTTTCAGGGAAGTATCTTACAGTTTTTTCGAAATTTTTCAAATTTTTTCAGGATTGTTGGGGATTTCTCGATGCACAAATTCCACAATTTTCTTATCTAAATTAATATTAAAAATTCTAAATAAAGCCCAAAAGAATTTAGTTTTTGCCTTTAAATATAAAATGAATACATCAAAAATCAAAAAAGGCAATTCAATCTGATTTTCACAGGTTCAACTATCGATTTTGTACCGCTATAAGGCGTGTATGCAGTTCTCATGAAAAGCAAAAATTCCATACAAAATGACGTACAAGAAATGCCTAAGAAATTTTCTTGTGTAAAATTTTCTTGAGGCAGTACGCAGTTCGTAAGAAATTTGCTACGCTTTCTACTACAGTTTTCTAAAGTTTTTTGTGAAAAAAGAGCACACGGCAACTCATGCTTGCAACAGAAATATATGCCCGCTCCATTATTTCTTGAGGAAAGAGCGAGCCAACAGGCTGCTGAAGTATCAGTTTTCAAAATTCCTTGGACACACACGAAATAATGGCAATTTTTTTCTTGATGGTTTTCTTGAGAGCTGCATATCAGCCTATACCCTTTAATATTCAGCCTCATTGCGTACGTGGTAAATTAGACTAAAATGCACGACTCGATAACACTGACATTGCATATTGCTGAAATAAGTAGACGACGAAAACTATCCAGTGCTGCCAAGTTTTCCCATTTTAATACACTAGTCGAATCGAATTTTTAGGCAATGCCATGTACTTTTCGATACGACCCGACTCTCGAAAAACGAGTTGCATTCGACGCGACACTCGCAATGAGGTTGATTACCACGAAAGCAAATGTTGACTTCGTTTTGAACACTTGTGCAAAATATTAACACTTACATTGCCGCAGAATTTTTTTCAACTAAGAGCGGATATCGGGTCTGGCTGTTTGCAGCACAAGATATTTGCTAAGTTGAAGGGTCTACAAGTGTAAAACTAATAGATGAAACAAGAATCTCGACTTCACTGCTATGATCAAAGTAAACCGCCATAGGGTTCTTGTAAGTGATCGCACGCATTTTTTAAGTTGTACTATCGGTGGGGTTTGAAACTATTTTAACTTCCTTATTGGTTCAGCAATTTCTTCTCTTTCCAATGTTCATTGAGGGGAGTGAGAGTGGTCTAGTAGAATTTGCAACCTTTGGTAGCAATTATTCGAAATGAAAGCAATCTTTTTTTTCAGTTTGAAGTGTGTAGCGCAATAGACTATTTGAGGGCGTATTCATTTTGGTTTATAGTTATATTCAGCATACGTAGTGCATATGTATTTTTATTGAGACACTACAGGGATAGGCGCTCGAAGTGTTACCAATTAAATATGCTATATTTTTGCAAATTCTTTTGTTTTTTAGTTAAAAACATCAGATCATCATAAAAACATGTCAAATTTGAAGAAAAGTGCATTACTGTTAGATTAGCCATCTTTAGCGCGGATATCTGGGAATGGTTCACAGGCTGCACGAATGATGTACTATAGTGATACTT